GATGATGATCATTGCTGTGGCCTTTGCACATTTAACTGTCTGCCCATTTACAAAAGTGGAGGAGAGCTTTAATCTGCAAGCAATCCATGACATTGTGTACCACAGACTGGACTTGGATAAGGTGAATGGGAAAAGAGGACTTTAATTCTTAGGGACTGTTTGAGATAGCCAGCCCTCTTACTTGTATAGAACAAATGCAACATGAAGCCTGGGGGCATTATTTGTCTAGTTTTCATTCACTCTTCTGTTTTCAGATGTTATTTCTAGCTTGCCCATCTTACAACTTTTTGCTTTCTTTGCAGTATGATCACCATGAATTTCCTGGAGTTGTCCCAAGAACGTTCCTTGGACCAATTTTTATTGCTGCACTTTCCAGCCCAGCTATATATGTACTGTCTATGTTGCAAATGTCCAAGTTTTACTCCCAGTTGATAGGTATGAGAACTTTAAATAAACTCTGAAAGGAGATCCTTTGCTGCTCTATGCTGTACAGCTGTACATTTATATTGTTTTAAAAGAGTGCTCTAGAATATATTACCTTTTTTAACAAGATTGAAGTTGCTCAGCATGATGTCATTCATGCATCTTTTTGAACCAGCTAACACAACAAGGTTTGTTAAAGAAACCAAGGTCCAACAGTGAAAAAGGAATTAAGAAAATACGTTATCATATTATTCTGAACACCTTATATTTTACTTCAGTATAGCAGCATCTACCACATATAATATCATACACAGAAATCAACCCCTCCAATAACTGCAAACAAACAAGGGTGGATTGTATTGGATAAACTATGAGCGGGGGTTCTTACTTTGTGAGTTTAAGTCTAATCTTTAGTATTATATTTTAAACAATTTGCCTGCTTCTTCAAAGTCTCACTACCCCACTTCTTAAAAATGATGCTACTTAAAATATTCTTTGTGTATACACCACTCTAATTTACCTTTATTTTGTCATTGGTAGGTCAGTCAGTAAGGAATCTGGTGTTACTTTTTTTTATTTTTCATGTTTATTCTCCCAAAGTTAGAGCAAGCTTGGGGCTTACTGTGATTTATGCACTATGGAAGTTACAGAAAGAAGTTAGAAAGCAGTTTGGATCAACTGCATCAACCATCTTCTGTCTTATAACTGTTACTCAGTTTCATCTGATGTTTTACTGCACTAGAACTCTTCCCAATGTGTTTGCACTTCCTCTTGGTAAGTTTTTTGACAGAAGATATTGTTTGTATACTGAAATGTTTCCTAAGTTTGTTGATAGCTAATACTTATGGACAAATAAAATAAGTGCAGCCATCCACAGACATACTGTGTGGCTAGTAGTCTGAAAAAATTAAGGAACATATATTTTTCAGTATTTGTTTAAAAAGATTTTGTTAATCCAGAATTCTGTTTAATATGAGCATGTGTGGGTTTTACCAGAAGTTTTTCATTAAGTAATGGTCTGACAGTATTTACTTGATTTGTAAAATGTGGAGCCATTGCAGTCTCTGATCCTATATAGGTCAAGAATCTATAGTAGGGACAAAGCTAGTCCATGCAGGGGACCAATTCAGGAGTCTGGAGTGAACTCCCACAGTAACTAAAGATCAGCACAAACCTCATTGCTATCTACTCCCAGGATAGGGGCACTACTTCGGCCTAATCTAAATGCATAACAGTGTGCCTATTTAAAAATTATAAAATCCCCCAAACCAAACCCAACCTTGCACAGAGTTCTCTCCCAGGAGAGATGATGACAGAGCGAATCAGCCACATGATAGTACTGTAACGGTTGACTGGAAGGTGCTCAGCTACTACAGTGATGAGGACAGCATCAGAATCTACAGAATAAACAAAAAAACCTCAAGGGTTGAAATGCCAAGTTTATATTGCAGAGTAATAACCTTTGCAAAGCACTCTGCAAAGTCTGACATCTACATATACAAAAAACTTTTATGCCATTACACTTTCATATAAGCCATTTCTGTAACTGCCACATTGTGGTTTTGTGGTGATGTCTGATCATCAGTACAATCTATATTAAGAATTAAGAGATGTCCCGTGTTATGAAAAAGTTTGTGAACCCTCTGATCTGTAGAAATGTATCTGTTCAACTAAACATGCAAACAAATTCACATTCCCTTGTTCATAAGAGGCACAAAATGTATTTTTAGGTGTGTACAGTTGGGTGTTATTAGCATGAATACAAACTATACAGAAATCAGGAACAGCAAGCACACTGGTTGGTACTGAATAAATAATAATAGCAATAATCATATTTATTAGGAAAGCTTTGCATCATGTGTGCATTTAGTCTTATAGATTATTTAGTCTAACCCTTTTGTATTTGTTCCTTTCCCAGTTAGCTACTATGACAAGCTATAGAATGTTTTTAAGAAAATCCTATT